CAGGGGGGGGGGGGGGGGAGAAGATGGTTTTCACTGTTACCGACTGATTGCGGAGCTAAAATAAAAGTCTCCAAATTGCCCCCTTTTGGAGATTGAGGACCCACTGACTATTCAAACAATAAAAGGCTCCAAATTGCTCCCTACAAACATTCGGTAGAAGAGGGGAGACAAGACATACCCCTGAAAATTTGGTCTGAATCGGACCATGAAAAGCCGCCGTCAATGGCTGAAAGTAACTCAGTACGGACAAGTATGTGTTTGGAGATATATGATAATGCTGAAAATAAGCTGGTATTGATAGGGAAAAGAACAAAGACAATCCAACAATTATGATGTTCCTTGAACTCCCTGCCTCGCTATAACAAAGCACAAGAGAGCTGCAACCATCACTTGGGGGCTTGATGCAATAAACCCCCCGACTTTTTTTCTTTTGATCGGTAAATGAAAATATATTAATCAAAAACGTTTCATGTACAAGTACACCAGGCATTCCCGGAAAAATCACAAACAAATACACCAGGCATCCCCGGGTATAACAAAAGTAAGTTAAATACAAAAAAAGATCAATGACCCAATGCCAAAGATTCGAAATGGATCAAGACATTCGGATACAAGGTAAACATAACTTTGTATACGTGTGTCTTGATCCGTCTCACAATGGAATCCAAGTCGGGTGAGAGGTCTTCGAATATCTTCCTATTCCTTGTAAGCCAAATGTAGTACACGATTCTTGCAAAAGCAATCTTCTTCGCCTTACAATGCCAAGAAGTCCCACGTGCCTCTTTTTTCAACCACTTAAGAGCACTAACAATTGTTGACATAGATCTTGTAATGCCGAGCCATCGCCCAATATTCTCCCATAAGGTAGAGGTGAAGGAACACTTGAAGAATAGATGCTCGCAAGTTTCCACAAAATGGCCACAAAAATCGCACTTGCGATCAATATCCAAGAAGAGTAATTTGTCTTTAGTTAGGAGCTTTGATTGGGCCCCTAACCAAAGCATAAAAGAAAGATTCGGAGTGATGTACGTTTTCCAAACTTCGGCTGTTCAAGGCTTGAAAGTACCCTTAGGCCTAAAGAAATTATAGGCAATTTTTGTCTCGAATTTATCACATGTTGAACAGCCCAAATTTTCGTTCCAAATTTCCAAAAACTGCCTACCGAATGAAGGAAACTGCCGGCCTGTGTTGTTGTCCAAGTACTGCCCCCACCCAGTTCTGTGCATTTTTAGCCCTAAAAATTTTGCCTGAAACAGCATGTCGAGAGGGGGAAAATCCAGCAAACATCTGACCCGTTCTCCCTTGCTGTCCATGAATAGAAAACTGTTGGGCAACAACATTTACACAAAGAATGTCCCTAATTTCGAGAAGTTTCTTGAAGAGTGGAGAATGATCCTTTCTAGAACAAACCTCCCATATGCAAGTCCCATTAAGATAAACATGATGGACCCATCGAATTCATAGGGAGTCCTTTTTATTGTGAATGTTCCAAAAGGATTTAGCGAGTAACGCTAAATTTTCAAGTCCTTAAGTCCAAGGCCCCCTTCGGAAGGCAAATATTCTTCCACGCAACTAACAGCTTTTTAGATCCCCAAAGGAATGTTCGACAAAGGCTAACAATCCTAGATATAATTGTAACCAGAATAGGGAAAATAGAGAGCAAAAAAGATTCAACTCCTTGAAGCACTGCCCTTATAAATAGGGCTGTAGGGGCGAAAAAAATTGCTCAAGTTGGGGGCTTAAAATCTTTGACAGATTCATCATTGTACTCAAATCAGGCAAATTCTTCTAAGTCTGGAAATGATAAGCTTAAAGGCAAAGTTGAAGAAAAAAGAAGTCGGGATTCGAGAAAAAGGGAACTTCCCTTGCTTCTTCATGATGAAGATCGCTTCTTGGAACATTAGGGGCATGAATCAACCCCTCAAACAAAATGGGATTCGAGAGTTTATAAAGCTTCATAGCATTGATATTATGACAATTTTGGAAACGAAGTTGGGGGACCGAAAGTTGAAGAGGATTTTGCGAAATAAAATCGATGGCTTCATGCAAGTAAATAATTTTTGCACACATAGAGCCGACAGGATCTTAATTTTGTTTAATCCATCCAAAGTTTTTTTGGATGTGATGGAGGTTCATCCACAAATTATCCATTGTAAAGCTACTTGTAAGGTAACTTCTTATGCTTCTCTTGTAAGTTTTGTATATGAATTTCACATTATGGTAAACCGAAGACCTATTTGGAATACCATTATGGAGCTTAATGAAAATGTGTTGTTACCTTGGTTGATTATGGGTGACTACAACAATGTTCTTAAGTTTGATGAGAAGTGCAATGGGGCGGATGTTACCCATTATGAAATTAAAGATCTTGCAAATTGTTGCCTTAACGTGGGTCTTACGGATGTGCACTCCATGTGTTGTTTTTACACGTGGACTAATGGGTCGGTTTGGAGCAAAATTGATAAGACAATGGTCAATGATGTTTGGATACAAAATGGGGATTTTGTTGAAGCAAATTTCCTTCCTTCCGGATGCCTTTCCGACCACTCCCCTTGCATTGTCTCTATAAATGACCGTGTGGAGAGAGTAAAAAGCCCTTTCAAGTTTTTTAACATGTGGACCAAGCATGTGGATTTCAACGTTTTGATTAGAGCTGCTGGAATTTTTACTTGCGTGGGATAAAACAATTCATCCTTTGCAAGAAATTGAACAAACTAAAGGGTGCTTTGAAAAAGCTAAATTCTAAGCATTTTGGGCATATTTCGGGTAGAGCAAGTGAGGCCAAAAATGATTTAGAGGCTGCCCAATTACAGCTCCATAATCACCCCTTCAATGCTGATTTTCAAGTTTTGGTTGCGAAATTGAGGAAGAAGACAAGCGAAACATAGTTTTTACTACTAAAAGGTAAAGTGTGTCTTCCTTAAACATAGCAATAAATGCACAAAGTTCTTTCACTCATTGGTTAAAAGGAACTCTAAGAGGAATTTTATTGCTACCGTACTCAAAGAAGATGAGATGTTTACTACATCACAAGATGAAGTGGCTAGAGAGTTTGTAAATTTTTATACTTCTTTGTTGGGAAAGAAATGCTCCTTTCGGCCTATTGACATGGATATTCTTACAAATGGTCCCTTGGTTTCCTTGGAACAAGGTAAAACCTTGATTCGGGACATTTCTTATAAGGAAATTAAGGATGCGCTTTTTGATATAGGTGATGACAAATCTCCCGGGCCAAATGGGTATACTTCTTGTTTTTTTAAGAATGCTCGAGGGATTATTGGTGATGATTTTGTTGGGGCTATTTTGGAGTTCTTCTCTTCGGGTTGCATCCTCAAACAAATTAATCGCACGGCAATTGCTTTGGTGCCTAAATCGGATCACACTCTGCATATTGGTATTTTAGGCCCATATCTTGTTGTAATGTTACTTACAAAGTGGTTGCTAAAATACTTGCTTCTAGATTGAGACCCATTTTGGGAGATATTGTTGATCATGCGCAAGCCGCTTTTGTGGAATGTAGAAGTATCATGGAGAATATTCATCTTGCACAAGAACTCTTGAGGCAATACAATAGGAAAAGGGTTGCTCCACGATGCCTCTTAAAAATTGATCTTTCGAAGGCTTTTGATTCGGTAAGTTGAGATTTCCTTAGAGATGTTCTTTTTGGTTTGAAATTTCCCTCGAGATTTGTCCATTAGATTATGGAATGTGTCACTTCTACATCATATTCTATTGCTTTGAATGAGGCTTTGCATGAATTTTTCAAAGGTGAGAAAGGTCTTCGGCAAAATAACCCCCTTTCTCCCTTCTTATTTGTGCTATGTTTTGAATACCTTTCGAGATTGCTTAAAGCTACCACATATGATAGTGATTTCAATTTTCACCCAAAATGTGGCCCCCAAAAGATCAACCATTTAGCTTTTACGGATGATTTAATGCTATTTGCGAGGAGAGATTTTATGTCGGTTAAAATTCTCATGGATTGCCTTTCAAATTTTGGTTCGGTCTCGGGATTAAGGTTGAATGTTCACAAATCCAACTTATTTACAACTGGTGTGCATGGACAGCTTCTTCAGGATATTATGGAATTAACAAGTGTTCTGAGGGGGAGTATGCCATTTCGGTATTTGGGCATCACCCTTGCATCGGACAAACTTAAAGTAAGTTATTATACTCCGTTTCTTGACAAAATAACAACATATATTGATACATGGAATTCTTCTACATTATCTTATGCAGGAAAGATTGAACTTATAAGGGCGGTGCTTCAAGGAGTTGAATGTTTTTGGCTCTCTATTTTCCCTATTCCAGCTACAATTATATTTAGGATTGTTAGCATTTGTCGGACATTCCTTTGGAGATCTAAAAAGCCGTTAGTTGCGTGGAAGAAAATTTGCCTTCCGAAGGAGGAAGGGGTCTTGGACTTAAGAACTTGAAGAGTTGGAATTTAGCGTTACTCGCTAAATCCCTTTGGAACATTCACAATAAAAATGACTCCCTATGGATTCAGTGGGTCCATCATGTTTATCTTAATGGGACTTGTATATGGAAGGTTTGTCCTAGAAAGGATCATTCTCCACTCTTCAAGAAAATTTCTCGAAATTAGAGACATTCTTTGTGTAAATGCTGCTGCCCAATAGTTTTCTATTCATGGACAGCAAGGGGGAACGGTCAGATGTTTGCTGGATTTTCCCTCTCTTGACATGTTTCAGGCAGAATTTTTAGGGCTGAAAATGCACAGAACTGGGCGGTTAATGGGCAGTACTTAGATAGCAACACAGGCCGACAGTTTCCTTCATTCGGTAGACAGTTTTTGGAAATTTGGAACGAAAATCTGGGCTGCTCTACATGTGATAAATTCGAGACAAAAATTGCCTATAATTTCTTTAGGCCTAAGGGTACTTTCAAGCCTTGGGGAGCCGAAATTTGGAAAACGTGCATCACTCCGAAGCATTCTTTTATGCTTTGGTTAGGGGCCCAATCAAAGCTCCTAACTAAAGACAAATTACTCTTCTTGGATATTGATCGCAAGTGTGATTTTTGTGGAAACTTGCGAGCATCTTTTCTTCAAGTGTTCCTTCACCTCTACCTTATGGGGGAATATTAGGCGGTGGCTCGGCATTACGAGATCTATGTCAATAATTGTTAGTGCTCTTAAGTGGTTGAAAAAAGAGGCTCGTGGACTAAACTGGCAGGCAGCATGCCAATAAGAAAAAGATCAAATTTTGCTGAAAACTGAAAAGCAAACCATCAAATACTCCTCCCCTTTCTGGCAAAACATTTAAGGTCACATTTTTGAAGTAGTACTAGACAATAGAGAAATCAAGATTTTAGCTTCTTTTTTGTTCGTTAATAGTGTCCGATACCAAATATGTCACTAGTCCACATAATAGAAACATCAGAACGAAAATGGATCCATTTTTCAGTATCTATGCATTTGTTAAAGTAATTCAGAAAGGGATAGGACAATTAAATACCTATAAGGGATAGGACAATTAAAACATATGCACCTAATTCGATTGCTCAGTGACTTCCCATTTTAGTAACAGCAATAGTATGATGCACATTCTCAGTCAAAGTTGTGGAGCCAGATACTATGCCCCAAAGACCAGCCAAAATGCTAGAAACACCTTCAAGACCAATCCCTTGACTTAACACACCAGGTGTTGGAGGTCTTGAAGCTACCAGCAACAATGACGCATGATATGAACCAACCTAGATATTGAGAAATGTGTCAGAAATCAAATGATCATCTAATGTACACACACCAGGCTGAACAGATGAATAATTCAGTAAGTGTCACAGATGTGATCTACAATATTCTTCCATGCCTGTTCCTCATCATTAAAATCATTCCGTTCCAATTTCCTTGAGATATTACAAATGATTACCTCTTCCCCAAGACAATTTCTCTCTCTAAAGGTGCCCGAATCTAAGACTATTTTTTTACCACTAGTTTTGAGTATATCCTTGTTAACTCTTCATTCATAAAAGATGTAAGCATATAAGCTTCAAGTGTCCAGTTAAAAAGACAACATCTCAAATGCATGTCAGAATTTGGAACAATACTTTCACTGTTTCACATGTTTCTCGAGAGATGAAACATTCTAGGTAGGAAATCAACAGAATCAGAACACCGTATGACATGTTGCAGTCACATGTTTTCCTATGTCATATAAGAATATTAGAACAATGTAAACAATAAAAACATCAACAAATATCGAAGGAAATAAAAAATGTGAAGTACAGTGGGCTTGAAGTGTTAATAAGCTTCTAGATTCTTATTTTTGCTATGACACTGTCTACATCTTGAGTCATTTCATTGAATTTCAATCTATACTATGTTCAATTTACAGTTTGCATGTGCTACGGTATAAAAAGTATCAACACAATGATATCCTGATATATAGAAGCTTGACAACAAATCATCACAATAGCTTTACTGGAATTCACATATACAGACAAATAATAGTTTCTAGGAATTTAAAAAGAATAAAAATAAAAAAAAGGGGAAAGAAAGTAAAAACCTTGTCAATATCACTTGAGAAACCTATCTTCATTTGGGCAAAGGAAAACAGGAAGAAAGTATAAGAACTACCAAAATAAGAGAAATTAAGAAAGTTTCCCAGTAGTAGGAACGACATTTTATCTATGTAAATCCTCTTCCCAATTTTGCTTTTCCTTTCACTTCCCTCCTCTATATCTAACATCAAAATTGAGCTGAAATAGAAAAGAAAACTTGAGATTCAGAGATGCAGTAAATTACATAGCAATTAGAATATCTGATGCTCGAACTGTTCAAAATGGTTGGAGTCCAATGTCGAACACATCATGACATGAGTATGGAATATGTGTTGGATCCTTCAAGTTTCAACCAAACACTTCGCTGCTTCTCCTTTTTTTCTTTTTGCTTCTTTCCTTTTTCTTTTCCTTTTCTTTTTCTTCCCTTTTTGCTCTCTATAAACCTTAACGTCGCCTCCAAAAGGATGGAGAAAGACGACGGTGCTAGTTTTCCCTCCTTTCTTTTTTCTTTCCCTTTTTCCATTTTTTCCCTTCTTTCACTCCTTGTATTGGTCGCTTAGGATTTTGTTAATATAAAATAAAAATGAATTCCATATAATGTTACTTAGTACTCCACTAATTCCAAATTGCAATCAAATCCCTCTTTTTTATTTTATATGACATTTATTAATTAACTTTCCATAATTGAAAATTAAACTCCAAAATTCTATTTTATTCGTTTTACCACCTTATTCAATACTCATTTTCTTCTTTATGAACAATTGTTTTTGGTCTATTCAAAATGACATCTTGGATTAGTGTAAAAATTGAAGATAGAAAGATTTATTCACGTACCCATATTCGAAATTTGGACTCTTTTTATCTCTGTCTCTGTATCCTATCTTTTAGAAAATAAAAAATTCGACACTTAAATTCATACCCGCACTCGAGTCCGAGCATTATAGATTAGAATATCTAATGGCAATATAAACCAACAGCGGCATATCAAGTGAAGACTCACTGAATCTATTGACGATATCAACACATTACTAGGGCCATCTTCCAGTGGAAGGCAGGTGCGCCACATTGTAATGGGTAAGGAAATCTAAACCATGGAGAAGATCTTAATGCACAAGAAGTATCAACTCTACATTGCTTCATTCTTGAAACATGCTTTCTGCAGTGGTTAGATAGTATATTTGAGGCTGGTACATTCACATCACAACCTTTATAGCTATATGCTCCAGCTTCAGTCAGAAGGAAAGCCGCTGACCATGTAATGGCAAGTCCCAGTGGGACCTAGGTTTAGACGAAAAGATTTAACTTAAATTGTACACTTGAAATTCGCAAAAAAATTGTTAAAAAAGGGACAGAAGTACAGATGTAAACTTACCGCATAAATCAGAAATACACAGTGACCCAACACCAATATTTTGCGAAGGTACTGAAAGATAAATAGATAAGATGTTGCAGAAGATACACAAAATATCAATTTTATAAAACCCAACCTAGGGATTCACCCTTAAAAGGTACCAAGGTCGAACAGGATGCCATAATTATCATATAAAAATAAATACAAACACTATGGTTCTAGAATATTCATAATATAGCATGATACATATCAGCATCACTCATTCCTTGACAAGAAAGAAAAATTCATTTTTTTCTCTAAACGATGCAACCAGAAAACCTGGTCAACCCTACGTGACTGAATTTCATATTGTTTTTTTATTAAACATGTGGTGTTTTAGGCTTTAATCAAACCAATTTCTGAGCCTGGATCTTAGTTTTTCTGGTCAAACCGATTAGTCCAGTCTGGATTCAAATTACAACATGGTTACTTAATAACACTGCATGGAATAATATAAGTAACAAAACCATTTCAGGGAAGCATCAGTATCATGACTGCATTAAGAGAGAGGATGCACTTAAGAAAGAAGTGTCACAACAGGATGGCTAACTTACAAGAGAAAAAAGAACAACTAATAATATCTGAACCACACCAATTTCAAGGCAGGTACCAACTCTTGGGAAACCATAGCCAATGGTTCACAGGACCTGGTCGGGTATGTGATAGAGTTGTGTTGTATTTTGGCTGTGAAAAAAGGATCAATTGCAATGGAATGAAGTTTCTTCAATCACAAGAGAGACAGTGAGGAAATTATGATGTATTTTATATATTGTATTGGAATAGAATGGATTAAATTTGTGAAATAAATGCAGTAACTATTCTTGAATTTGTATTGAATGTAAAATGAGAACGGAATGCAAATCAAAATGAAATCTCAATTACAGATAATGTGAGCATTCGAGAGGCTCGCTCTCTCCCACAATTTCCACTCAATTTTTGCCTACCTGAAATGAGTTCCCTACCCCTCTTTTATAATTTCGTACTCGGCACATATTTAGTTCCCAAATACCCCAAACACAACTAATTGACTAAGTAAGCATAAACAGGAGTCTATCATGATCCAATTCACTACTTAGTCGGATACACAAGTACAAAAAGGGTTTCTGGAAGGCTTATTTAGATAACACAATCAGAAAGTACAGAGGAACAATGGGTGATATTTTTCTCTAAAAGGGTGGAAGATTAGCTTAGGAAGTAATTTTTAAATTTAATGGAAGTAAAATCTCATGCAAATATTGCAAGAAATGGTTATGATAATGCAAGGCCAAATTTCTGTCCCCAGGCTCTGTACATGCCTTGGTTAGACTTGGTGGACACGTCATCGAATGCAGAAGGCAGATGGGCACCATCACTGTCTATCAGTCATTTCCAGAAATGAACAGGCAGCTATTTTCATCGTCCTTGACCTCTAGGGAAATAAACCATGATCTGGCTAGCCCCAGCCCCTGGAGTGGTTTGGTCAGACAATCTCAGCCACCACAGTAGTCTGATCAGTCATTAGGACATGGGACAATGAATGAGGAAGTATGCGGCTACTCAACTTCTCACGTGTAGCCACAGGCCGCTAAATTTTTATGACTTGAGAACCCTGGACAGTGAAACAGGCTTATAAATCATCTTTGATTACTAACAGGCCTCCCTCCTCATCTTCACTAATTTTGCTCAAAATATAATAGTCTTTGACTCCAGACTTGTAAGATGCTAGCAGCTCAACACTATAGCATAGTCATCAGTTTATGAAAGAAGCAAATTACATTTTTATTTCAGGTCAATGTTGAACGGAGATCAAAAAGTCTCCAGGGATCTTTTTTGAAGTATAGCAGTTTCAAAATCCAAATAATCAGTCTATATCATCGTGCAAATATTATTTCTCAAGCTAAATATGAAAACTTAACACTATCTTTTCAATTTGTGTTGATACAGTCTGGGGCCATAGCCCAATTTTCCATGGTCTAAACAGTTGCCAGAATTCCACCAATTATGAGATTCCAAATGAAAAACACCAATCATACAGCAGATTTTGCTTTTTTTATTTTATTTTATTTTTTTATTTTATTTTTATTCTTGGGCCGGGTGGGATCAGCTTCTTGCCATTAACATAACACAAATCATATCTCCCAACCATTGATCTTTAAGTAATGCCATTGAAAAAACTTTCAAATAGGGCCATTCGAAAAAAATACACAATACCTTAACAGTAACGCCATTAATCCACTGTATCCCAGGAAGGCTTGAAACGCTGAACCAATAATTATAGACCCCTGTATCTCTTTCATTATATGCTTGAAAGCCTGCAATATTAGAAAACATTTTAACTACCAGAATGCATATTGAAAAAATTATCAGATACCAAGAATTATTATATTTGAAAGACGTAAGGTCAAAGTTGGATAGAAAATGATTTAAATCCCAAGAATATTGAGTCCATTGCCTTCACAAAATACCATATAGAAATCTTGTTCATTTTACTATTTCTCGACGAGTTCTTGGAAACCAATTAGTCATTTCAGACATATAATTGCCCTGACATGATGCAAATGTCCATCAAAACTTTGTTTATGTTGATCAGATGGTACTACCTTGCCAGGATAAAACCGAGCATTTGGCATAGAAATAGAGAATTATCTTTAATAGCCTTTTAATTTTTCGTTTTCTCCCAGACGTAAGAAAACTTTTGACCTTCTTCCCAATCCTTATAGCACAGGCTTTTGCAACTTCTACCCTTTACGGCACTCGTAAAAATAAAAATTAGATTTTCTTTGGCATTAGCAAATTCTTTATTGAATCAAATCACTTAATTTTCCAGTCAAATCATACAAAATAACAAATAATTGTTGCTAAAGATCAAATCAACTCGCTTAGGGACTTCTCATGTAGCTGAAAATTACCTATACAATAATAATAAGACAGATGGTTAAGCATGTGAAATTTATGACCCTAGAAATATGACAACATAAATAATATAACTTAAAGAACCCATACACTGGGTAGCAACAATAATTTCAAAAATAAATAAAGAATGATACAAATTGGTAACATGTAATATCCATGGCATTATAAAATTTATCTATTATTTCCCATTTCCCTCCCAACTGTAACCACACAACACTATAGAATAACAAGCTATGCGAGCGTAGAAATGCATATTCCCATTATGACTACATTAACCAAAAGAGCAGCACTCATAATCACAGATATTTTTTTTATACTTTAAATATAGACGCTTAGATAGTTGTCAATATCACATGAGCATCAAATAATGCCATCATTTACAAACAAACGTATCCTGTTTCAGACTGATGAAATATACAATTTTTAGATCAAAATTGCAAATATTACGTTCTGTTCTTTATTATTATTTTTTTCCCGGTAATGGTATAATATTGAAATTAACAATTAAATAAAGCTACCCATTTCAACATCAACAGAAGTATTCAAAACAAACATAATAATCACAACTTTTCATTTTAACATCAGCAAAAAATACTGCAAAGACAAGCACTAAAAATAAACGATTTTCAATGTAGAAGAGAGTCCTTTCAATTCATAACTCAGTTAACAAACAAGCAATAGCAAGTCATTCATTATGCAACTTAATCACAGAGAAACCTCACTAGAAGTCTACCATATTTCCAAACCAAAAGATTACCAAGACCAGGAGTCTCTCTGAGCTCATACTTGATATGTGAATGCCTTGATACAGACCTCTTACAATATAGAACCAGATATTACCCATCATCATCCACCAGTCTGCGGCAGCACATCAATCGGCGCATACACTTCTTCATCCCTCAAAGCCCTCCTACTCCCCTCCCCTGCAGCAGCCGGCAGCCCATTCGACCCTAAATTCCTGCCACCATCGGAGTTCCTCCGCTTCCTTAGCGGTGGCATCTGCTCCTTATCCCCGGGTGGCTTAAAAGACCCAGGCTCCCTATTGGACGTCGGGAGAGAAGGTTTTGCCTGGCAGGGATTCGGTGTTAGGTTCGGGTTCTTCGGGCTTGGGTTGAACTTGAGGTAGGAATGTATTTTGGCCAGAGTCACTTCCATTAGTCTCTCCAGAGAATTTGGGGCGGAATCCGGTGCGTTTGGCACAGGAAGACGGTGGCATTGAGAATCAGGTTGTCCGGGTCGAGGCCTCTTACTCGGGTCGGAGCTTGCATTTTTAGTATTACACTACGAATGCATAGCTTGTAACCGGGCTGAATCCCAATCTTGAGGGCTCTCACCGTCCCATCTCTAGAGTATCGTGAGAGATGTAAATTGCAAGATGTGTTCTAGTAGGTCAAGAAATAAGAGATTGCTTGTACACTGATACCCACAAAAAGTCCAATTCTATATTTTAGAAATCGAACCCGCACACTGCGCCTATAAACAAGGTTGAGATTACCTCACTTCTATCCTTTGCAACACTTGAATATGCCCCGGAGGGCACGAATGCATAACTTGTAGAATATACATATGTTGGTGTATGTATAGCTCTAAGACTGAGCAGTGTTAGGGTTTTAGAGTGAAGTAAGAGAGAGAAAGATTTGAGTATTAAAATTGAGTGAATTGTTCAAATGGTCACTGAACTTTAAAAATTATCTAAATGATCATTGAATTTTGTAAAAAATTTCTACGGGATCGTCATACTTTAAAAATCATTTAAATGGTCAATGAACTTTGAAAAAAGTTTTTACGAAGTCATTGAACTTAAAAAAAAAAAAGTTTTCCAAGAGTCGCTGAATTCAGTGACCACTGGGAAACATTTTTTAAAATTCAGTGACTATTTAGGTGATTTTTAAAGTTCAGTGACCCCATAAAAACTTTTTACAAAGTTTAGTGACAATTTAGGTAATTTTTAAAATTCAGTAATCCTTTGAAAACCTTTTGCAAGGTTCAGTGACCATTTGGACAATTCACTCATTAAAATTTGATAAAAGATAAAGGCATATTTTCTTGATAGAACCTTAAATTGAAAAAACACTTACAATTTAAATAGAAATAATTGAAACTACCAAATCAAACTTGTGCAAATCTTTGGGAAACTAAAATACAACGTGGTGAACATCCTCAACCAATATTCCTACAAAATAGATTATTATCTTGACTTGGTCTCTTTATTTATCTAAAATAAAACTTATATAACTCTTAACATCTTCTCTTAAATTGATTTCTGCTGAAAAACAGTTTAGGATTTCTTCACCATCACATGGTCTTCTTCATTTGTTGTTTCTTCTAAATCAATGCTTTGCACTGAACAAGCTCCAAGCATTTTCCTCAGCTTCTAGGATGCTGGTTGCTTTAATGACTTGGTCAAAATATCTGCAACTTGCTCTCCACCATTAGAGTACTTCAGCTCAATCTTGTCATCCTTACAAAGATCTCTCATAAAAAGAAAACGAACATCAATGTGTTTACTCCTTCCATGCATGACTGGATTCTTTGACAGCTTGATAGTTGACATGTTATCACAATAAATAATTGTTGGACCCCTTCGCTAATTACCAAGTACTTCAAACATTTTTCTAAGCCACAAAGCTTGACATGAGCTTGAAGCTGCTGCTACAAATTCAACTTCAGTTGTGGAAAGTGTCACCATCTGCTGCTTCTTTGAGGACCACGATATTGCACCATGGAGAAATAGGGGAGACCACAATAGTCAAATTTTGATTTTAAAAAAATAGTAAGAAAAACATTTCGACCGCTTTCAATTGTTAAATGAAAAAATAAATTTCATTGTTTGATTTATCTTGTTCCAATGAATCTATAAATTATGGCTTTCGAATGAATTCAGCTGTCGAATTACGACCATTGATTGACAATGGTGATTGTGCCATCCCCCTCCAATTGTAGCAATTGGTAGGGGATGAGGTAGAAGATTTTTTTTTTTCATTTATTATTTCGTTCTCGTATTTCATATTTTGTTTGTATAAAGACGAAGGCATGATTATTTTTGTAATAACATTTTAGCTAGTTAATTAAAAGCCTATTTGGAGTTGCTTTTCTACACAAAGAAAAGCATTTTTTTTGACTTTTTTGGTCAGCTAGGACCCACTTGTGATATTTTTGGGCAACAATAATGGCTACAAATAGTTTTTAACAGTCCCAAAAGCAATTTTTTTGGCCTAAAAATTTCCTCCAAATAGAGTCCAAATAGAATGTTACAATTACTAAACAACGCAAACTGAATTGTTGAGGATAAAAATATTACAAATCTAGAAAACTTTTTTCTTGGTTAAACCCTAATAAAGGATCTATGTAAAGCTTCCTCAAGAGCAAGATTTATATAAGAAACACAAAAATGGCAAAGGAAAAGACTAATAATAGTTGAGCTATCTCGACTCTAGCCTATAGTTGAATTTGAAAAACGTGTTACATGAGAACGAATGTGCACGAAGACATGTAATGATTGGATGTGAAGAGTCACTCGAGGCCCAAATCATTTGATAGAAACAAAAGGTTTTTCCATATTCAAGAAGGTTATGGGGGTAAATAAGTGTATGAATTCTTGAAATAAAAAGGAGCAAACTTATATATTAATGAAAAATATAACGCAAGAAAGCTAATTGATATACTTGGTACTACCACACTAGACATGGCCATATTCAAAAAGATACTCGTTTTGACTAATGAATTCAAAAAAATGCTAAGTAGGAAAGTTTATTAAAGAATGTCACTATCCTCATTTCCCCAATTCTAGAGCCGGATAAAATTATTTGTACATAATTTTATGTACATAATGGTGTCTATATACTCATATGGGTATTTATGTACACCAAGCACAGCCCTTATAGTGCCATTTATCACAATTTCCCTCGATTAGGTTGGTAACTTGGACCAGCCCAATCTCTTTAGGACTAGGCCTTGATGTAGTATTAGTTCATTCTATAGTCTAAAAGTAGAAACCCCGCCATGTCATCTTTTGTTTGCCCAAAGTCTACGTGCTTTTAAGTTGTAAATTTCATATTACGTGTTGTTGACTTCATAAAATGGCCAATAGGTGTCGTCTTTAGACTACACACGTGGACACGTTTGGTAGTATATTCCTAGGCTGACATCTCTGAAACTTGTTTAATGAGAACGTCACAGCAATCAACTCCAAAAATGCGTTGATCAAACCCTCTTCTGTGTTAAGGGCTTCGGAAGCTATGGAGCTCGGCAGAAGAGAAGTAAACCCACTTCAGATGGAAAAAAGCCGGAACCACTTCGAAGAGTCCTAGTGAGATGACCTCGGTGTCCAATGCAACAGCTTCGCTGTTGATGTCTTCTATAACCCTCCTTGGACCAGTGCCATGTGTATGAAGATGAGACTTCCACATGGGACATTCTATATGATCAGTAACACATGTCAATAATAAATGAGTAATAATTTATGAATTTTATGAAATATGTAAATTAAAAGAATGTTTGATTAGTTTAAATTAAATTTTTGACAAACACACACTAAATACATTTTTTATTAATCACTATTTTTGTCATTGTCATTGTTGTTTTTGTTGAGTTGGAATTTTATAAAGCTTGAAGGCTGCTAATTCAGTAAACAGTAAATAGAATAATCATTTACGACGGTCAATCACATGTGCTAAGTAAGTCATCATCGTGGAGAAGTTATTTTTGGCTTTCGACTGTCTAAATAAATAAATAATATTGTTGTGGGTAAACAGATAAGAAGAACAAAAGGGGAAAAAATGAAATAGAAATTCTCCATTCACTTCTCACCTGAAGCTTGATTTACTCCCTATTTGGTCTCAATATTTTAAAACTCATTTTTAGTTGCACATTCTCAGAGTAATATAATTATACATAACTTTTCCCTATTCTACAAACATTAGGTATGAGTTCTAAGTTTTCTGTTTTGAGACAGAATGGTACAATAACTGAGTTGATATTTTAATGTCTTGAATGAAAACGTAGATTGTTTTGTAATGTTATATTTTCATTGTTCAATCTATTTTGTACCGTACACAATTTTAATGTCATAGAATCAATCAGGAAAAGCCTGAAAATATTTGTTAGATGAACCAAACAAAGGATCTGATTGAGAGAAAATTGGAATCCTGCAGTTCAGTTCACGTTGCGATGATGGGACACTGCTTAGCACTTTCAAAGGAATGGTTTGGATCATTTCATCTTGATGCAGGCAATATCAGCGACGTTGATCTTTCGGATGTGCCCACCAAACGATGTATTATCCAGTGCATCAACAAGGAGGTAATCTAACACCTATGGAACTGGAAATAAGACAATATTCCATGTCTAAATGAAAAAATAAATATAAGTTTAAATAATTTTAAGTTTTAAACTTTTAAATAAGACGAGGTTACCCTCAAAAAATAATTAAAGGAGGTAAGAGGATTATTGAGGAACAAAGTTAGTCAAATATTATTATTCTTCAAATGACACAAGAAAATAACATTGGCCTGTTGTTCGAGGAACATCGAATTTAAAAGTCACTCTCTTATTGATTTATTATTTTTATTAGCTTGAAATAAGTGTAGTAAAATATAAAATAAATAAAAATATAATGTCTGACAACCCCTTGAAGCAAGGAGAATGTCATCAAACTCTCGTAGTTTAGTTAACCTTTTTCCCCTCCAGTTTGGTCTATCTCTGTAATTAGTGAAAGATCAAATTAGGGTTAAGATGTCTCGGATTGTAATGTATAGCAGTATAGGCAAAATTGATTGAATAAACTTTACGATTTGAAATTATCATTTAAGTGGGTTAACTTAATAAATGGATGATTAATCTCACAAAATTGTAACTACAAGAAGTCATTTATAAACCAAAACCTAAACCTCACTAAGCAAATCAATGGCTAATGTTTTGGCTGTCTTAATAATATTAATAACTTTGATTAATAAATAAATCATATATATACTTGCCTTGTAATGCAAGTGATTAATATGATCGTTTTTCCTTGTTTTTTTTAAGAATAAATTGAGCACTTCGTCTAAAAATTTAAAACTTGAGAAACTAAAGTTATTTATTTCCTTCCTTCACCTTTGAGTTGGATTCGATCAAAAACTTAATACGTACAAGATTTTTCATTGGATGATAGTCGTATTTAAATTTAGGATCTTTAAATGCTTTGATATTATATTTAAAATATTTCATTTAATAGGTTAAGATAGTCCCTTTATCAGCTAAGTAAAAGAAAGGAAAAAAAAGAGGAGCATTTTCTG